GTTTACAAACCTTTTTACTCAAAAACTTGACTTCTAGTAATCAAAAAAAGTCAAGTAGTACCTTTGATACCAATAGCAAGAAAGTTTTCAAAGGAAGAAGAATTAATTGTGAAGTACAGTATATACTATATACAACATGTAAATTTTATAATTTTTGACTGTATAATTAATAATTTAAAAATTGTTAAAGTTGAAATTTATAATAAAAACATAGTAAGTGGATTCAAATTTTGAAAGTAACTATATATAAAAAATCTATAATAATAATTTGCAAGTAATAATACTTACAATTGAAAGAGTATTAACCTGAACTATAAATAAAATGACAAATCATTTTCAAAGTTATACTTTAAAAGGTTTCAAGAATTAAATATATAAGCTTTAAATTGATTTTTTTTATTCCTTTTCAATTTATTAATTCAAAATAATCAATAGTGATAATGAACTTCTCAACTTTCTAAAGTAGTATAACCCTTTAATTAATAATATAATAAGTTAATTATATGGCAATCAATATAACATCGTAGATAGAAGATATAAGTGAATCGATAGTTGAAAGAATTTTCATCCAAATTATTAATAGAGCAATATATCACTCCCACAAGTTAGAGAATTACATCATATTATATACAGTTTACAGAAGTTTAATAAAGCACACATGACTAACCTGACAGAGGGTTAAAAAAAAAAAATAAAATATAGAATGCGAATCTAGAGAACGTACTACGCCACCGGATTTCATCCGGAGATTGTAGATCATATTAGATCGAACACCTTTGTCGTTTAATGGGTTTCAACTTACTTTCTTAACTCCCTTTCTTCATTCCTTTGAAGATGCAGCCGGTATATACTGTATATGTAAATAAAAACATTTGAAAATTGAAATAATATCTACACGATCAATAGAGTATTTATAATATTGAATAAATGAGAAGCCCAATACTTTCTACATGTTTCGTTTTAATTTTATTCTTAAATCTTTCGTGTTTTTTAAATAGCCGAGCGAAGGATTCAAAATTATTTAAGGTAAGTTGTCTGATTTACGAACGAATTAGATTGTTCCAGGCTAATTACTGTTGACCTTTAAAGTCAAAGTCTAACATTCTTTTTGTCTAGATATTGCCACGTTCAGTAACTTTATCATATAGTATAATAGCACTTCTTAATATATCCAAACAAACTAGATGCTTTAGAGATCTTAGCATATTTATTGACATTTACACATTAAGTATTATTACAATTCGTAATTTGAATGGTTGATTTGATTTTATTCATATATGTTGGATTTGTTTGATCAGTTGGGTATCTTTCAAAGAAAATGCTATTCCACAAACTAATCAATCACGCTTTGGAGATAATGGTGCCTCCCTTAAAGACAAGGGTCGAAGAATTACAAGAGGAGTGGGAATACATCCGGAGATTTTATAATACATATAATGCTATAGGTAAAGTCTCCGATTCTACTTTCTTGAAAGTATTTGCAATTTCTCAACATACTAAATAGTCGTTTCGACCTCAATATTATATATCTATATGTGTATGTATATATATCGATGCCCAATAAAGATTTATCTAAAATGGACATAAACGATACAAACCTCTCTTTGCACCTTGAGAATATGATACAACATCTGAAAGAGGAAGAAATCCAATCGAGAATTAGTGGTGATCTTGAAAAACAATCTTGTTTGGATTATATATTTGAAAATAATGTCCTCGGAGAGTTGGTAAAATATGCCCAGGATGATGTACGTGTTAAATAAATATCACCGATTGTCGTGATAATAATATAATTTCATCCATCCACCATATTCTATCACTATAATTTACCAAATCACTAAAAATTATCGCGACCAATATTAATATGCCAAATAACAGCTTCCAAAAGGAACGAAAATCCGGATTCTGGACTTTTTCGTACATTTCATATCGAATATTCGTCCTCACCTACTTTCCCAATCAATAATACACTTGTCATTTGAACGACTTGTGCTTACTTCATATGAAACGAATGAAAAAAACACAGTACTCAAACAGGAACTAGTCAAATTGATAAGTGTCGTGGTGCGTCATATTAATGCTCAAAATGAATTGATCGATGTGTATTTTGGGGTATGTGATTTGATAACTATTTATACTCTGTTGGTTTGTTGAATGAAGATAAACTAATAGTTTTCTACTTCTATTCTTCATCAAGTCTGATTTTCGAATATTAGCAATTTTGTTAGATTACGTAAATATTCCCGGTCAGACGGGAAGGGTATCAAGGGAAGCGCTATTCTTTTTGATAAGTCTGGGCAAGAATAATAAATATTTTTTGGATTTTTTGGACGGAGGAGTCAAATTTTATGAAAAAATGGTAGGTCCTATTGCACGTATTATTTGTTCATAGTGAATTAATGACATTCTGAAATACATATATAACCTTTTAATTTCAGGATCTTCGCCTTAAATTTTCTTTTTCCCTTTTACCAAAAAGCAGTACTATTGCGAATGGCATTGGTGGTAGTGACGCCTATAATAAAAGATGCAATGACAATTTGCCTTCATCAAAAATTGACAGGCTAGAAATTATCATAGAAGAGTTCTTTGATCTGTGGTCGTTTATTAACAATGTTGTTGGGATTGAGTGTGAGGTTCGTGATTATAAATTATTTACTTTCTATTATGAAGTATAATTTAAATGGATTTTGTTTATTTAGACAATTACCTCAAGATTATTGGACACTTTATCTAATGGATTCTTTAAATATGTACTGATTCCAGGACTGTTAAACCCGTTAGTACTATAATATTGATGCTTCAATATCCTTTCATTTTTATCTAATGTTAATCCCGCCTGCGTCCTGCTAATGTTAATAGCTTTGATGATCAAGCCACAGCAGCAACAAATTATGCGACAAAGATGATAAGACTCACAAAAGTGCAATCTATTCTGGATTGCATCTTATCAACAATCTTTGGTGCAGATCTCAATCCGGAAGTGACATTTGAAGAACCACATTCTCCAGAAAAAACAACTCACGTAGAGTCACTTAGAGAAATATTGATAGAGCGCGCCGGAAGCTCCGAGGACATACTTTCTTTGGAGACGTTAAGATTATTTGATTCTATTATCGAATCATTTAACCAGTTTGGTTTGCATAATTTGGTATTTAGAAACTTGATCGATCTTAAATTTATTGCCACCAGAGATGATGAAAACGCAATGACAAAGAAAAAATTTTCTTCAAGAATACAAAGGAATCCGAAAGCATTTGTAAAACATCTGCTTACTATAATGCCACAAGAAGACCGAACGCAAAATGTGAGGTCTTCGAAAGCGGTTGTTGTAGAGTCTGTGGATAAATTGAATGGGAAAAGTGGATTCAATTACGAAGATTATTTCCTTGATGCACAACGACAAGTTCAAATGGCAACGGTGGTATACAATAATTGGTCACAGTCATCATTTTGCAAATCGACAATGGGGTTCAGAAATGGTAGACAGGATTCTTCGTTAGATGTAGAAACCAAGATTAGGGATAAGTTCTTTGAGGGTACATTTATGGTGATGATACTTGAACAATTAGAAAATTTCCTTGAAACACCTTTGGAGAGGAATTTGGTTATCACCAGTATTCTAAATAGGTTGGCGTGTATACCTGATGAAAGAATTGATTGGTTGTTGTATGGTGAGACCGATGAGCATCGTGCCGTTGATGATACGGACTCGCGTGGAGGAAAGCGAAAGAACTTGGTTGGAATTCTGAAAAAGGTGAGTGAAGCTTTACTTATTTATCTATTTTCTTCCACTAGTGACATTGTCAAAAGACATAATCATATACTTACGAACATTAATTCAAATTATTTAGTTGGCATTAGAAGCCGAGAAAAGCTCTGGGAAAGTTCCAAATTTCCGAACTCGTATGCAACTAGTAAAGCGTCGTGGAATGAACAATTCCGGAAAGTCTTTTCGCCGAGGAAGCTCGGTAGATTTAGATAGCTCTCCAACGACACCTGTATCTCCCGCTTCTTTCAATTCGTTGAATACATCACCAACATCTGCACAATGTAGAGACAATACGACAAATCCATTTGCAAAGTTCACAAATTTTGTAAATGCGTTTATTGTGTTACAGGAGTTTTGCAAGGAATTGGCCGCTATAGTGTTTGTAAAATATATGGATATTGACAAGGCTATTTCGATAGCTGAAGAGGAGGGAAATGATGAAGCAGAGAGAACGCCTGAAACACATTCCCAAAAAAGCTATTCCAAATATAAACATGAGAAGCAAAGGAGTATGAGCTATCTTGGTAATCTCGGAAGGAGATATGATAATAAGGGTGCATTATATGTTAATAAATCTAGTGATTCTGTGAAAGACGATATATTCTTGACGAGAAATAGTGAGAAATTTGCAAGATTAATGGCGTCGGTAGAGAAAAAACAGAACTTTAATAATAATTAAAACATGAAACTTAAATTATCACAGATTTGAGTGATGATATTAATTGTTAAGGTTATTGATATTGTGGCGTATTTTTTTTTTTTTTTTTTTGAAAGCAAGTTAATCGAGCATAAAATAAATTGTTATTAAGCAATGGTTTTTTGCAAAATAAGGCATCTCGTTATTCTTGACAAAGATATAATATACAGTATTTGGCTTTTTTTTTTTTTTTTTTTTTTTTTTTTTTTTAATAATTAATCACGTATAAGTTAATCAAATCGTAGTTTATTAATGTTGAGAGTTGATAAAGTATACTTGTACATATCGAATATAATTTTTTAACAGCCGACTCGGCAATTCTTTATTGTGGTTATTAGGAAGAGGTACATTGTTACATTACAAATGATTTGTAAAGCAAGTCTATGCTATCCTAACAGTTACAATTAGAAGATTATATTACTGTTACAGATGATCCATCTTGCCGAGTCACCCTTCATGGTCAAGGTTTCCAGTGTTAACAAGAATCCACTGGTGCTGTTTGTATTTTTATAACTATCTCTTATCATGCTCAATCCAAAGAGATAGAAAAAGCCATGGCAGGTTATATAAATCTCTTTGAATCTCAGTGTGATAACATAATGGGTTTTCAAGTAGTTTGATGATTCAGTAGTGTCTCTCTAATCAATATATAGACTTCTATTGTATAATGTTTAATTACTCTTCAAATATGAATTTTAAAGAAATTTCTTGATTATTATTGACAAATTATTTTTTTCAAAGTAAAAATCAGCTTCTAAAGTATTTAACATAATACCAATATTAATTATTAGCTTGTAATGCAAGCTATTCTTTTGATAGCCATTGATTCTTGATCAAAAATTTTTTATAATAAGTTTTAACCTAATTTATAATAATCTTTTAATTAATATGAGTAACTTGATTTTTTTCATAGAAATTTTTACGAAAAGTTAATAATATTATTATTCTTATCAAACTTTTTTAACTTGAATTTTTTCAGAATTTTTTTTATAACTTTAACTTTTTCAATATTTTAAGTAATAAAAAAAATTTTTTTAACTAAAATTAATCAGAGTTGTATAACTTAATTTTTATATATTTTTAGATAAAATAAAAATAGTTATTATTATAGTACATAATTAATATAATTTATAAAATCTTAAAAAAATTTTTTTCTTAAATTTTTTTTTCTTAAAATTTTTCTTTTTTAATAATTTCTTTAAAAAAAAGAAACTAGCTTAAAAAATATTATACTATAATAAACTTATAAATAATAGTATATTATAATATATAATTGTATATCAAGGTACTCTTTATTAATTAAAAGAAATATCAAAAACAATATATTATTTTTTGATTTTATTTTTACAAAAGAAAAAAAACATATTAACAAGTTGATTTACAATAAACTTAAAAAAGTTCAATATTAATTTCTTAAGTTTCGAGTCAATCTAATATTTATTTATATATTTTTAGATATTAAAAAAAACTTTATAAACAATTGTTTTTATTGATATATAAGGAAAAACTCAAAATCTATAAAGTCCAGAAAGATATTAAAGACTTTCAAATATTAAATAGTAAAATATCTTGATTTTACTAATACTTTTGATTAAATATTAAAACAAATTATATAAATATATATATAATAATTAACAAGCAATAAAAATAATATATAATTAATTAAATAAAAACTCTTTATGCAAATCTCTCAAATCCTTAGAAATTTCTTTTTTAAGCAATTTATTCAAGGAAAGAAAAACATTTATAATTCAAAACATATATTCTTGCAACATCAGCATACAATAGTCATCTTAGTATAAAATAATACTTTATGTATAGTTCAAATCAATAGGTTGTTGAAAAATACATACATATAACAACAACTTTGGCTTTTTCTCCTTTTTTAAAAAGAAGAAAAGAAATCAATATAAACTGATTCACAGTCAAAAGAGAGGAGCCAATATCAACTTTACAATACTTACAACCAGGTCAGTATAGGTTAATATCTTTCTTAACACTATAAGGAATCATAAAAAAAGTAGATTCACTTGATAAATTAAACAAATCTCAAATCCTTTAAGATCCAAAAGAACAAAGTTCTTCAAGGTCTAATCAGCTTAACATGCATATCCTACTCTACAAATATCAAAATATCTAGCCAATGTAATACAAACATATATACATGTATAGACCTATTATCAAAAACAAGTTCAAAAAGATTTATCACAACAGCACAACAACAGCAAATAAATTTAATAAGATTCTTAATCACAATATCATCACAAGATATGATTAACATAAACAGAACAGTAGAAGTCTATAATACAATATTAAAAACTAGTGTAAACAAGTAAACAATACTAGATAAAAAAGGAATAAATAATATATGTCTGATCAAAACAAAATAAAAACATAAAACAAAATTAAGAATTACTAAAACAAGAAGTAAAACACATAAAAGACTTTCTGCTTTATATGACTTTAGTAACACTAAATGATTTATCTTCTATTAGATATTCTTTATATGCATAATAAATAAGACAGAAAAGATTTTATATATAATAAATAAAAGAAAAAAGAATATTATTGATACTCTAATTCAACTTGTAAGAAAGCATGATAAACATAATAAATTATAGGCTACATAATAAATAACCAATAGAAGCAAGCCACTATTTAAGTGGGAGAAGAAGCACCAATTCCAGAAACCTGTACAATACTTAATAGTATTATTGCAAGTATCTTAAAAGTAGACAAGATGATATTTTATAAAAAACAAATCTTAATACAATATATAATCTACCTCTAGCGGCTTGAAAAGAAAAAAGATGAGGATCTGTTTCAACTATACATCGAAAATGAATTTCTTGAAATAATTAAAAAAAAAAAGATATATCAAAAAACATAAAAACCCTTCCTATGGAGATCATCACTTGGATAGAAAATAATTTAATAGTAGACAATAAGATCATAATATCTAATTTTCAAGAATAAGAAGAGGTAGAAAAAAAAATAGAATTTAAAATACTGAGAGAAAAGATCAAATGTCAAAATATAAGTGAATGTAGCTTATAGGTACAAAAAACAGAACTACAAATCCCACTATAAATCCATATTATATAAGTAAAAAAGAAGTATATCGATTAGGAGCTATGACAACAAACATTCCAGGAAGCTCAGAAAAGAAAACAAGAGCCTATTTGTACAATGCTTTAAAGTTATCTTAGGACAAACAAAATCTTCTTTATAAAAGTTTCATTAATAGAAATGAATGACTGATTTTTTACTTCAAAGAAAAAGAAGATCTCCTTAAATATTTAGAAGAGATAAACAGAAAAAAGGAAGCCTTCTTTCATTAATGACTAGAATCAAGAAAAGAAGAATACATGGATTAATCAACTATAGATAAGATAGAGAAAAAGATATTTTAAACCCACAATCCAGAAAAAAGCAAAAATATATAGTATGTAAGTCCAGTGAATGTGAATTGTAAATTCTTCAAAAGTTATATAAAAGAATATCCAAAAAGATGTAGAAATGTTAAAAACATTGGTATCTATAAGATAAAAATCAAGACCAGAGTAAAGACCTACTTCAAGTAATATAAACACTTCAAAACCAAATTTGAAAAAATATGAATAATGCTACTTAGAATAAAAATAATAAGAACAATCTTCACTAAAGAAGAACTAAAAATAAATAAGATTTTTATTGAATGAAATAAATACTCTACTAGGCTCTTAGGCATAAATAAAATACTTTTAAGTTTGATAACTAGGGTACTTAATGGTACAGAAGTTAAAGCTTGTTATAAATCAAGAAACACTTATATATTAAAAAAAGCAAAACTTTACAGTAGTATGTTTTGCAACAAAAGAAGCATTAACAAGAGCTTGCAAGCATTATATTTTCTTGCAGGGACTAAGACTATCCTGAAGTACAAAAGTCGCAATAGGAGAAACTATAAAAGGTCCTAAACCTAGAGTTGAAAGATTAAGAGAAAAGCTAGGACATAGAACAGTAAAAACAAATATCAAACCTATATCAGATTTACTATAAAATAGTAAATTGATAAGCTTTATTACAACCATTGAATATAAGCAATCAGTCAATCAAAGAAAAAGATATTAAGGTCAGAATGGTAACACCCAATAAAAATACTATAGAATTCTAGGTTGTCTAGCAACAAAAAGCAATAGGAAACCATTGGAAAATCCTAGAAGTCCACTAGAGAACCAAAATAGGAGACAGTATAATAAATTAAACATTGAGAATAAGTAAGATCCACTAAAGCTCATATTGACAAATCTGAAAAAACTGAATAGAAGAATTGCCAAGCTTGAAGGCAAATCAAGATTCAATTGACAAATAAGAGAAGAGCCAGGATAGGCAGACCAATCCTAAAATGTTATACTAGTTAATTAAGATAGATATGGAAAGAAAGAGCACAGTTTTTCTTCAACAAAGACTTATAAAAAGAGCAAAGTATTAATCATTGATTCAGATAAAATGTAGGACAAGGTGATGATCTAAACATAGATAAATTTCTATAGAATAAGTATATTACTTTTCTGAGAAGTCAAAATAATGATAAGCAAATAAAGAATACAAAAGGAATAAAAGAAGATATTCAAAAAAGAGTAGTAAAAATAGATACATGCAATATCAGAGGTACAATAAACAAGACTAATCAACAAAGTCTTATTGAAGAGATATAAGAACAAGAAATAGGTATAATGGAAATATACAAAACTAAACTGATTCAAATTAATATGAAATGGACTTTTGGAAATTAAAAAATCTACAAATATTTTTATAGTATTAATAGAAATACAGTATCTTATTTGAAGCAGAAGTTAGCCTCCTAATCAAAAATATTTAGAAAAGAAAATAGTATTGATAGAAGAGAAGGAAGGTTATATAATAGTAGCTAACTTCCTCATGAAAAAGAAAAGTCTGTATTATACAGATTTACATTTTTTCAGACAAACAACAATGCA